CCCACGACCGGTAACGATGGGGACCCGGGAGCCTGGGAGGGGGCCGGGCCGCGCCGCTGCCCCGGGCGGCCTCTGCTCAGAGCTCCCCGAGCACAGGGACGGGCGTTTTCCAAAGGAAATCCGTGGTGAAAGCGTTTTCAAGGCACCAAAGGACAAGTTTAACCCCATTCTGTGTGGATGGGAATGACTCTGTGCTTGGAACAACTGGTTTACCAAATTACAACCTAAAACTTGGCTCCGTTATGTTTACGTACAGGCATGACAAACCCAACTGTTTAGCCCAAATTGGTGATTTGAGAAGAAATACAAAAATGTGCGCTTTTTTCGGCATTTTTGAATGTAGGTGCCTGTGCTACAGAGGTAACGCCCTGCTTCCAGCCCGATTCCCATTTTAGCTGTATGCGCCCACACCGCTCCTTTCTGTCTCCGCTCGCTGCTCCAAGGCGGCAGGAGGGCTGGGAACTACAACCAAGGGCTGGCCTTCCCTTTTTCATAGCGTGACCCCTCTTATCATTTATTGTTTATTTTCCCATGTGCCCTTAGTAGGGATGCACTGAACGTAGCATGGATCATTTACCTAAAACCTGACACTTTCATTTTTTTGTTCTCTGACCTTTTTGGGTTTTTTCTGCATCAGAGTTACTTATGTTTTTCAGGCAGTGTTGAAAATGTGACTTGTCAGTGTATTAGGTATTTTTTACGTCAGAGGTTTCTTCTCCTGATTTTTAGGTGATAATATCAGAGAGTTTTTGCTGAGTCTCAGATATTTTCGAATCTTCATTGCCTTGTGGAATGTCTTCATGATGTTCTGCATGATTGTGTAAGTAACGCTGTGCAGCATCTTGTCATTTGTTTATAGGCAGTCATATCTGTTGGGATTTTTCTTGCACGTATACTTCTTTTCAGATCTCTTTCTCTCCCACTCTGTTGTTCCATAATTCCTTTTCATTTCACTTCACTTTCAATCTTCAGAGAGACCTTGGTTGACCTCACAGTTCTTTGCTAATGTGGGCACCTGTAGTGCATGAAAACCGTCTCTGCCAGCATGCGAGTCCTTTAGCCTTAGATCCAGCATTCTTTGGTGTGGGTTACTTAGATAAAACATCACTTGGGTCAGCATTTCAGTTTAACTTTTGGGATGTTTTTCATTTTAGCAGGGGGGAAAAAACCAAGTAATAGAATGGAATCAGCCTTGAGAATAAGCCTCTAGAAGCAGGTTTTAGTTCTGATAGGCAGGCTAGCAGGCTGTTTTCCTTTCACTTACATAGCTATATGGTCTGATGTATGGGGGAGCAAAATCCATCTCCAGATGCGCACTAGCATTCTGCGTTGGAATGGCATCGGCCTGACTGTTAGCAGTTGCACCCGGTTCTCATCAACCTTTTTTTCTGTTGCGTCCACTAGGTTATTTGGATCTTGAAAGTCATCCACAAACATGCCCGTTAACTTGGAAGAGACTTTTGGCTGGAAACATAACTTTTCTGTAAAGTAAAATATTATAATGCTTTCAAAATACAGCCCTGGGATTGCGGCCTGTTCTTCGGTACAAGCTCCTAACGCGCTCAAGGGATGGGGCGCGTTCATCGTCTTCAGCCAGTCGTGTAATAATCCGGTGCATGCTGGTTCGCTTGCTGCCGGGGGCATTGAGCCTTTAGGCCCCTGAACCAAAATCTTCAAAGTCAAATCATTTCAACTTTACTGAAGTAAAGAGAACTTGAAATTGTTTTGCTAGGCTTAGAGTGCGGTGCAGGGTAGCATTGCAGCATGACTGAAGACCAGAGTCTTAAAACTCTGCACCGTTAGTCGCTCCTGGCTCCCGATGTGTCTGCTAGTGTCACCATCGTCTAGGTTACCTGGAAGTCGCGCGTCTTGATTCTCATTTTTATAAAGAGCAAAGTATTGGTGTAACTCCTCGCTATTCCATTAAGTTTTGTTGGGCAAATAGAAACGGATGATTAAGAAAAATTGGATTCTCATCTTCCCGCTGTTTTTGCAACAAAACGCTTTTTAAATTAAAATTTCAAAGATGAGATTTTTTTTTTTTTCTAAGCAATATGTAAGGGATTTTGAATAGGAAAAACAGCAACAATAATTCTGTAAGCCAATCCTAAGGAGTAATTTTGGAATAATCTTGGGTTTGGTTGAATGAAGTTGTTCTATTAAAGAGTAAAATATACGTATTTGATGCCGTGTTCATTCTGTTACAGGAAAAATCAATTCAGTATTGGTGCATTTTGAGAAATTTTAACTGGTCTTGTAATTGTGTCTGTCATCTTGTGTTGTTTTTATTTATGTTAAGTTAGCTGCTTTGACCGGCAACTTTTCCTCAGCATCACTGGGATAATTTAAGAGAGTGTGCAGTGCTGGGTGTCTTTTAAATCAAACTAAACTATTATTTGAGCTCCCTCAGCTTCAGTTTCTTTAGCTGACTGTTGAGAAGGAAAGAATTGTTTAAATCATTTAATAATAATCATTTAAATGATTCTGAGGCTCAGGTTTTAGCGAATACCTTGAATTTTATCTGGATGGGGTCGGGGAGTTGGGCACTTGCAGCAATTTTCTCATGTCATGTCTTTTGCATTACCTGAAGTTTTTATGCTTTCTTTTGGGGAAGGATAGTTTGAGGAAAGACGCTTTGCTGTAAATGAACACAGAAAAAGGATTCTTCAAGTGTGGCTTGTCATGGCATCCAAACAAAATCCAGTGCTTTATATAGTTCTTGGAAAACATTTTCTCCCTGATACTTGTTAAACCAAGTCCTTCCCTGAAACGTGAAGGGAAGGGGTGGAAATGGCCGTCGCCGTCTGCGCGTGACCCGCTAGAGAGCCCCGGGCTCAGCACTGCAGCGCTTGGGCTTTTTGGGGGGGGGGGGGCGTTAATTCTTACTCGGAAAAATGGTTGATCGCGTGCAGAACTGACATTCTGCTTTCTGAGCAACACTTGGAATACGGTGAATACAAGAAATCGAAGATGATCAAGCTCTACTGGTAAAGAAACACAGACGATTTTATCACTCCATATAGATCATGTGGCTTAATAGCGTGCTGTCGCCTTCAGATTTCAGTTGTTCAAAAGAATAAAAGTTGTCATTCAGCTCCTAAGCTCCTCCTTAATACTTTGGAAAGCTTCAACGCCGGGCTGATGGCTTACCCGGTGTGGTGCAGGACGCGTTTTGCTGTGGGTTTGTTGTGCAGCTGCTCTCGTACCGAGCCCGTTTCTGTATTGTAAGCTGCTGGAAACCTGACTTGCTTTTTAATTGTGGTTTCTCCTGAATCGAGGAGGACAAGGGAGAAGGTAAATACGTCTTTATGAAGAACTATCTGTTCAGTTTTTGTAGGAGTAGTACTTTCCAGATTAACAGCTGGAAGTTTGTAATTGCTGCCTCACCCCTTCTGAAAATAATAAAAATACGGAGTTCTGGCGCTTGGCAAAAACTTTTCGTCATCGCCATTTTTTCCAGAGCACGTCTGGCCTTCTCACAAGT